AATATTCAATAGCGAAAATATACGCGGCGTATATGACAACGGACAGTTCAAATTCGAAGACAAAGTAAAAACGACGTGTAAAATTAATAAACTTAGTCCAATAACGGAGGATGACGTGTGTATGGACACTGTAAATTCAGATTCTAAGGGAAAGCTGTTAGAGGTGATGAATGAATTCCGAGAATGTTTCGCTACAGGTATGGATGGAATCGGCAAAACTAGTGTAGTCGAAATGAAAATTGAGTTAACGACCAACGAGGTGATCGCACAAATCCCGTATAGAGTTCCGGAACCGAAAAAAGAAATCGTTGCGAAGAAAATTCAAGAGTTGCTCGACAACGATATTATAGCTCCGTCCGAATCAAGTCATGCGAGTCCAATGTTGCTTGTGAAAAAAAAAAATGGCGAACATCGACTTTGCGTGGACTACCGTCGGATTAATCAATTCACTCGAAAAGAATGCTACCCAATGCCCAATATCGAAGAAAGTTTACAAGAAGCAACGAAGTATCGAATCTACATATCGTTAGATCTTAACTGTGGTTATTATCAAATTCCTATAAAACGTAACAGTCGTAAATATACTGCAGTTGTGGTTCCTGATGGTTTGTATGAGTTTAAACGGATGCCGTTCGGGCTGAAGAACGCACCAGTTCTGTTTCTACAATTGATGGCGAAAATTAAGAGGCGCTTGGAACCCAGCGATATGATTCACTACATGGACGATATGCTTGTCGGCGGCAACGATGAAGAAAAACTTCTCGGAAAGTTTCAACGAATTTTAGGTGTAATAAAAGAATTTAATTTAACATTGAATTTAAAAAAATGCGAATTTCTGAAAGATACTATCCAATTCTTGGGACATCAGTTGGGACCCAACGGGATAACGCCGGGTGAAATCAAGACCGAAGCCATACGAAATTTCAACATGCCTACAACGCAAACAGAGGTGCGGCGCTATTTAGGGTTAACGGGATATTTCCGTAAGTTTATACCAGGCTACGCAATTATATCCGAACCGTTGCGACAATTACTTAAGAAAAACGCCGTCTTTAAATGGACAGATCAACAAAGAAACGCCTTTGTGAGTCTAAATGAAGGACTAACAACCGGACCAGTATTAACGGGCTACCGAGTGGAAGCTGATCATCAAGTGCATACAGACGCGAGTGCCATCGGACTCGCAGGTGTTTTACTCCAAAATGACAGCGGAGATTGGAAGCCAGTGGCGTACTTTAGTCGATCTACCACACCGCTGGAAAGGAAATATCACAGTTACGAATTAGAAACGCTTGCAGTTGTCGAATCTGTGGACCGCTTTAAATATTACATCTATGGAAAGTCGTTTACGGTCATTACCGATTGCAATGCTGTAAAATTGGCCATGCAAAAGCGAGAAATGATACCTCGTATAGCCAGATAGTGGCTTCGTATCCAAGACTATGACCTCATCATCGAACATCGAAGCGAGCAACGAATGGCGCACGTCGACGCACTAAGTCGTATGCCTAACGAAGACGGTTGCGATCTTGAGGAAGCGAGTTTGCGAGTCTGGAAGGCGGAAATAACTGAGGCAGATTGGCTTTACAGTATGCAATTACAAGACAGCAAACTTCAACAAATCGTAATGAAAATTGAGGAGAAGGATTCAGACATTATTAACGAGTATAAAATAATTAACGGACGACTGTACAAACGGTATAAAAACCAACAGCTCTTCGTAATACCAAATGCTTTACGATGGAAGGTGACACATGATGCACATGTTAAAACAGGACACTTGAGCATTGACCGAACGATTGAATACTTACTACGGTCTATGTGGTTCGCTCGAATGCGAAACTTTGTCAAATCTTTTGTGAAAGCGTGCATTGATTGTGCCTTCACTAAGCGTCGAGGAGGTAAAAAGGAAGGTGAGTTACATTGCGACAAAATGGAGCCTATTCCGTTCAAAACAATACACATTGACCACCTGGGACCTTTTCCCCGAAGCCGAAAGTTAAACGAATATATCCTGATTATTGTGGACAGTTTCACAAAATTTGTCATCGTCAGACCAGTGAAAAGTACGAACACTAAACAAGTCATCGCCATTCTGAATGAAGTTACCAGTTACGTTGGAACCCCTGAAACTATAATAAGTGATCGTGGTACCGCCTTTACGTCAAAAGAATTCGAAAGATACTGTAACGATCAACTAATCAAACACATACGCAACGCAGTCCGTACGCCACGAGCCAATGGCCAAGTCGAACGATTTAATCGCACCGTTTTATCCATGCTGCAACCCTCAACACAAGATGACCGAACCTGGGACGAGCAACTACGAAGCATTCAATGTACATTGAACTCACTGATTAGGCAAACGACGGGAAAATCTTCAAACGAATTGCTTTTTAGATTCAAGCCACGCGACATATTAGGTAACAAGCTGATCCAAATTCTCCAAGATGAAGACGATACTATTCCCATCACCCAAGAAGAACTTCACCACCGACGATTACTTGCTGCTAATAACACCGATAGTAAACGGGTAAACGCGAAAAAGCGTTTCGACGATAAACACAGGAAACCAACGAAATATGAGCAAGGTGATTTAGTTCTAGCAGAACGAGAACCAGCATCCACAGGCACGTCCCGCAAACTTGAATGTCGATATAAAGGACCGTTCGTAGTCACCGAAGTTCTCGATAATGACCGTTATGTCATCGAAGACCTACCAGGATCCGATCGAAAACAACGACATTATAAATCAATCTATGCGTCTGATCTCCTAAAGCCATGGTGTCAATTGCCGTACGAAGAAGAAACTGATTCCGAGCGCGAGGACGCTTGACGTCAGGAAGGGCCGACTGTTAACCTACATCCGAAACGCACAACTGGGCACCTTAAAAGTTTTAACAACAGGTGGTCACCTAACCTATGTTTGACAGCGAATGACACAATCGAGTGAAGTAGAATAACGGAAGTTCGATGGGTAGCGTCGTGAATAAATATATTGTTTTAGTTAAATAAAGTAAAGTAATGTTATGTAAAAAGAAAGTCTATTAACGTTTTGTAGTTAACGCAAAAATCCAAATTTAAATTAAACCAAAGTTTAAACATATGTACAGACTTAACAAATAATTGAGGAGTTATAATTTTACCGCATACATGACCGAAATTTGGTGCGCATGCTTAAATATACACAGTGCGATTTGGTAGCACGCATACTTGGTCTGCATCGTCTATATCATGCTTTAGTTAACCATCCTCCACTTTCTTTAACTGCACTTGCAGCAATTTAGTATCATTAATATGATATGAATGAATACTTAGTATGTAGAATATTACCAATGTGGAAATAATCAAATATTTTTTGGCTGGTAAGTTTCTAGTATATACTTAGTAAAGTGAGGATTCCAATACACTTTCTAACGAAACACCGACAATAATGGGGTAACTATCAGAGGTAAAATTTATTGAACACACTCGAAATTTTCTGTCAATAAGGAAGCTTTTTAATATGTTATACATGTTGGAAGAAATAACGGTACTTAAATTATACCAGAGTTCGTATTTGCACACTCATGAGCAGCTCAGGCTCATGAGCAAGAGCTAATTATTACCTGAGCCCAAAATTGGCTCATATTGAAATTAGCTGCTCATGATATATCACGAGCCGGGAGCTCAGCTAAAAAATCAGCTTACTGGCAATAGTTTTTTATTACAATTTAGGCACATAAAATTTATTACATTTGTTTTCCGCATTCTAAGCAAATTTTTTTTTACATTCATGTAAAACTTTAAAATATTAATTTTTTTGTTTTCAAATTTTCCGAAACACAATATAATAATATAATTTAAAACTCTTGAATTAATATAAAATGACCTATTAAGTAAATGCACAAAATTCAAATAAATAGTAGCACGTGCCAAATTGTACAACGAAAACAACAACAAGAATACCATATATTTTTCTCATCCACAACAATGCGCATGAGATCTCATGAGCCTCAGCTCTTATTCCTGCTCACGAGAGTGAGCCAATTTCTAACATTATGGAGGCTGTTGCTCACGAACGTGAGCTCAGCTATTGGTTTGTTTTACGAACAACAACACGAAAATATTGAAGATATAGATAAATTTTAATAAATTCGATTGAAATAAATTCTAACCAGGGCCCTGTTGCACCAACACTTTTCACTTTTCACTTTGCAAATTTTTATGAGTTTTTGAGCATTTTTCTCTCATTGAGAACACAAAGCATTAATTTGAGAATTGAGTTATGCAAAGTTTTGAAAATACTCAAAAAATGCAAAGCGTTGCACCAATGTACTTTTCAATGAAAAGTAAAGTATGAAAAGAAAAGTGAAAAGTTGCATCAACACTTTTTACTTTGCGCTTTGCAAAAGTAAACTGCAAAACTTTACAAAAAAACTGCAAATGATTAATTCACTTTGCAAATTTTGCAAAGTGATTTCTTTCAATGCGTAAAATGAAAGAAGTCATTAATAAATAAATAAAAATAGTTTTAAAAAAATAGAAATAGAAAATTAGTTTAAGCAAATATTATTGCTGTTTTTGAAATAAATTTAGTTGCAATAATTAAAGGGATAAATTACCGGACAATACTTTTAAATTGTGAATTAAAGAGTTCAGTTTCTAAAAAAAATGTATAATACATTTAATATAAATATTTTATGTGAATTATTGTTTAAGCATGAACACTTATTTATTATAATGATCAGTTTATTATTATTATAGGTCTGTTATCGTTCAAATTCTCCGAATTATGAACTAAGAAAACACATGGGTAAAAAATATCCTATAATAGCTAACATTGTAACATTTTTAAATATCTAATTATCCGTATCTAATTATGATAATAAAAATATATTTCGAAAGACAATAGAAGAAAAAATCACAAGTGCCTGGACTTCCGTCGTTTTTTGAACCTTGTTTGAAATGTAATTAAAAATAATACAGTCCACTAAAATTAATAAAATTAGTTAAGTTAGTTATAAGGTAATTTTGTATAAATTGAGAGAAATGTTCTAAAAAAAATCAGTATTTTAGGCCCTTTATGCGTAGGTTTCTTTTGTATTGGGATAATGCACAGCGACAAGTAAACAACTCTTTAATAACTTATAATACTTTAAAATTAAATAGTAATGACAGATTTACAGCTAAATATTTATATAAAAGCAACTTATTATATTTGTTAACTTTGTTTTTCAATATAATTGTTGTTAAAACACCTCATACCCATACTCTTTACATATAAATTCTTTTTCTATAACTTTTCAAGCAGCAAAATTAATTAAAAGCATAAAAATTGTGTTTATGGATATATACAACTTCTTTATCTACGATTCAATGTCAATAAAAGAAATCATATACAAAAATTTTGTGTTTTTTATTAATGTATAACATATAATTGTACTAAAATTATACAATTATTAAAAATTATAATAATAAAATTTATTAAAATAAAATTTATTAAAATAAAATATTATTTTAAAACTTTTATTTTAAACAAAAATTAAACTCATAAGTACATGCTATGCATAAATCATGTCCTCATAGCATCAAAATATCAAAGAAACAAAAAAAAATATACAAAGAGAAACGAAATGCTTTCAAAAACCAATATCAAAATGAAAGTGATCTAATTTTTTGGTGCAACGCTTTGCTTTGCATTTTATGCAAAGACTTTGCAGTGAAATTTTTATTTGCAAAGTGCAAAGTAAATTATGTTAAGTCTTTGGTGCAACGCTTTTCACTTTTACTTTGCAAAAAAAAGTCACTCATAAGTTTTGCAAAGTGAAAAGTGAAAAGTGTTGGTGCAACAGGGCCCTGGGCCCTCTTTGTAAATTATTATGAGTTTTTGAGCATTTTTCTCTCATTGAGAACACAAAGCATTAAATTGAGAATTGAGTTAAGCAAAGTTTTGAAAACACTCAAAAAAGGCAAAGCGTTGCACCAATTACCGGTTTTTTTTGCATTTTCTGTTGCACCAATACTTTTTACTTTTAAAAAAATTTTTTTTATGAATAAATATAAAGTTAGTAAATTCTCTTATTGAGAGAAAAAAAATAGTTTAAATATCAAAATCATAAACAGGAATTATAAAGAAATAAGTTAACTTATAATAATTCATAATTCTTCCGTTAAAAAAACTTTTCTTCAAATAGAGTAAACTTAGCAATCAAAAAAAATTTTACAATTTTCTTCAAACCAACAATTAGTTTAGTTTTATAAAAAAAAAAACAAAATAAAAAAATCGAATAATGCCGAAAAAAAATTGCAAGCTTGACAAGTGAGGCGGTCCTCTAGTCCAAAAAAAACAAAATTTTTTTACAATAAAAAAAAATAAGCAAAAGAAAATTTCAAAAAAAGAAAATATAAAAATTGAAAAAAAACTATAAAGAAAATATATAGGCCCTCTGTACATATATTTTTAAAGACTTAGTTATAACTGTTCTGTTTCTCTAGAGGTTTCCACCGTTTTTTTTTCCTTTGAAATTCCGTTAGATGTACGCCGTTCTTTATAGCCAATCTATACCTTTTGTAATGGTTTTGAGATATCCTTTTTTTTTCTTTTTTTCTTCTTCCTCCGGGGGGAATTCAGATGACCAATCTACAGCTTCACCAATTAGCACATTTTTATTTGCCACTAAACACCTTGGTTTATGTGCCACTTCAAAATTCGAGTTCAGTTTGTTAACCGCGACTTGTCATTAGTTTTTCTTCATAAAATTAATTCTTTAATTTCAATAATTCAGTAAATTTTCAGCAAAAGTTTATATTTATATTTGTAAAAAAAATTATGTTACACTTTGTATTCCACGTAAATATTGATTTGCAACATGTACATATTAATTAAATATATTTAAGAATAAATATCTTCATTGTTGCGCATAAAGCTAATGTCATTATTTGATTTTTTTTTCGTTTTTTTTTTCTTTCTAATTTTAATTTTTTATATATATATGTATATCATTTCTAAATATAATAACTTCAATTATTTTCAATTTTTAAACATCATTACTCAAATCACTCACTTGCTGATTCCTTACGAACCGTTTTCATGCGGAGACAAATGTGTACCTTTTCAGTCATGGTTAAATTTTCAACTCTTATTAGCATCCGACACACACAAGAACGTTTAGTCACCAGAAAAAGAGACCGAATAAAGTCTTTGCTAGATTTTTTATAGGCCAGTTCGCTTAACTGAAAACACCTGCTATAACGATCGTGGTACAGCCGAAGGTTCTTTAAAACTTTATACCACTTTCCGGTTACTAGGTTTTTCTCTCGTGAATTGCTTTTTCTTGTTTTAGCTGGCTTTGTTTTGGTTTTGATTACCTATCTTGGGGTGAATGAACTATTAAAAAGCTCAGTTTACTTTTTTATTTCCACAAAATTATGATTTGCCTTTTGTATTTACGCTGATTATTCCTACTTGGCAATACTATCTCTTCTCACTAAGTCAAATTTCGGTGCAGCTTTTCTTTATTTACTACTTTTGTTTTATTTTCATTGATAAAGTGCGCGCAATGCACGTTGAATTGTTTATAAAAAAATTAATACTTTTTTTCTTTTTGTTTTAATAATTTTGTTGGTATTTTGATAATTAAAAATACCATAAAATATGTAGTAATGTTGTTGTTTACAAAACTTAAAATTGTTAACATAATCATAAAAAAACAAAACTGGTTTTATGCAAAAATAATGTGAACTGTGAGTTTTCAAGTGCATCGAGTGATGGAGACAGGCGCTATACAGAGTACCCCTGGACGCCGCGAGAGACCCGAGGTAATGTCTGACAATATTACGTTATTCTACCTTACT